GTGTGTGTGTGTTTTTGTTTGTTTGCGTTTAGTTTAGACGTGCAGACCCGGGTACTGAATGGACCAGCCAGGTATCATCCTCCAGGATGGGTCGTGACTTTCTCCAAGCCCAAAATCCGCTATATCTCGGCGAAAGATGTCTCCGGAGACTTCGCCGAGATGTGGCTCGGTCTCTTGAAACTTGGATTTGTTGGGGCAGCCTCACATGTGCAGGTCTTCTTCCAGAGACGGGGGTGCCTGGGGCCTGGGGGGGGGGGGGGGGNNGGGGGGGGGGGGGGGGGGGCACTTTTGGCCGTCCGTTGCTTTTGCGATATCTGACAGCAAGGGCGAGAACAATGATGGTGCCGATGGTGGTGGTGTTGTCCATGCGGGGGTTATGTACTCGCAACATGCTGCTGATCCTGATGATGGACATGGTGACTACAGCCTGTTCCGGTCTTTGCGGATGCTCTTGGTTTTTAGGCTGATCACAAGCGGTCACTAGCTCACTAGCTTGGCTTCATAGCTGAAGCCAGGTTGGGACTGGGGCCTGGCATCGTCCCCCAGAAGACGGTGGGCAAAGACGGCTTCGTGGCACATCGCCTCATCAGAAGATTTTGCCTGTGAATCCCAGAACAATTCCCTTCTGTTGCCCATGCAGGAAGGTTTCCCCAGATTGCATGAACGGTTATGGCCTCATAAGGCGAGGGTTTCGGACGCAGGCTGCTTGAGTTCAGGGTTCGGCCGATGTGACCGCTGTGCCCTCCCACCTTTACTCGCACGCCAGCATGCAGACAAGTCAGCCCCCCACAGAGTGGCCTTGAAGATAGTTTCCCAGCTCCCGATCGTAGCTGACGAGGATACGGGCAGGTATGATTGCCGGGAGTGTTTCTCGGTGGAAGATGTTCAGTTTGGGACATTTATATGTATGCTTGTATGTAGGTATGCAGGTATGTATGTACGCAGGTATGTATGTAGGTAGGTATGTATGTATGTATGTATGTATGTAAGCATGTATGTATCTATGTATATATGCATGCATGCATGCATGCATGCATGCAGGAATGCATGCGCAAATGCATGTACATGCCTGTTTCTTATCAAAACTTATATGTACGTGTATGTATGTAATGTAATGAAATGTAAATGTAAGTATACATGCACTGTCATGTATTGCAATGTATTGCCTGTATGCATGTATGTATGCATGCATGCATGGATGGATGGATGGATGGATGGATGGATGTATGTATGTATGTATGTATGTATGTATCTATGTATGTGTGCGCATGTGCATGTGTGTACGTCTTTTTGTATGT